TATGTATTGAAGAAAAAGTCCCAGGAAGAGATAAATGTATCTGTCCTTCAGAGATTCTTTTTTTTTTTTTTTTTTTTTACAAATAGTTTATTGTCAAGTTGGTTTCCATATAACACCCAGTGTTCACTTCGACAAGTGCCCTCCTCCATGCCCATCACCTCCCTTTCCCTCTCCCCTCCACCCCGTCTGCTCTAAGTTTGTTCTCTGCATTCAAGAGTCTCTCATGGTTTGCCTCCCTCCCTCTCCCCCACTATTTTTCCCCTTCTTCTCCCTCTTGGTCCTCCGTTAAGTTCCTCCTAATCCTCCTATACGTGCAAACATATGGTATTTGTCCTTCTCTGCCTGACTTATTTCGCTCAGCATAACACCCTCAAGGTCCATCCACGTTGCTACACATGGCCAGCTTTCATTCTTTCTCGTTGCCATGGAGTATTCCATGTCCTTCAGAGATTCTTAAATCCTTACCTTCTCATCATCCCACCTGTCACCAGCACAGCATTACTACACAGTCCTAGATGACTAGAAAGCTCACCTTCTGGCTATCATTGCTGGATTAACCTTTCTAAAAGCACCCTTTGCTTTATTCATCTCTCTGCTGGGAAATCTCCAGGGGTCCTCCTTGCCTACCAAATAAATCACAAATTCCTTAGCCTGTATATAAAACCCACCACGGTCTGCCAACATACCCTCCCTTCCGGGTTCACCCCAACAGCCTGCTCACTGTTTTCAAAGACACACGTTGTGTTCCCCCTCCAGGCTCTGTTCTTTACTAAAATGCCGCCCCTTCCTTCTGCGCAATCCCTGCTCATTCTTCAAGGGTCTTCTTGAATGACACCTTCCCTCTGAGTCTACCACTTACCACGTCAGCCAGAAATGATTCCACCCAACTTCCCCACAGCCCTGTATTTAAATCCATTACATGGCGGTTGGCTATGGCTCCTTCTATCATAACTATGTCTGTAGGTAGCTCACCTTCCACACGAGGCTGTAAGTTCTTTGAGGCAAAGACTGCACTTTCTCTACCTCATATTTCCCAACATGCTCTTTATGGTATTTCAAATATGTAAGCTGCTCAGTAAATACTCCCTGGAAGACTGCTTATTGAGAGAAATCAGCCCTTGGGCTTCACCCCCATCCCCCAGTGCTGGAAAAGGCTCACGGGGAAATGAGGCAAGAAGGTCTGAAGGCTGTTAAACACACACGTGCAGTGAGGCATGAACACACACTGACGCATACATCTCCCCCGCCCCCCCCGCCCCCGGACACAGAAGGCTGGCTCATAAATTCTGCCCATCGTAGAGGATTAATAACAACAAAACTAAGTAGAGCGCAGCAAGCATTTCATCTCTCTTGGAGGTCTGTGATTTTTTTCAAAGCTTTGGTTGTTTTATTCCGTGGGCCACAGACTTCAAAAGAGTTAAAGAGACTGGGTAAGTATTATAACGGACATAGGAGGTTTTTCTCAAGAAAATGTCATGATCATAATCTATTCTGGAAAAGCTCTAGGTTAGGTTTCAGAAAGTCTGGGTTCAAGGCTGGGCACCGTTAAACTACGTGGGCACTTGGTCTAATCAGGAAGTTGTTTTCCTCATCAAGGAAAAATAAACAAAACCTTCCTTTAGAAGAAAACATTTCCCCCCTCCAACATACTGCCCCAAATGAGGTTCTCCATTCGCGTGACAGGAAGAACTGCAAATCGGGGGGGAAAAGGATGGTGTGTTCTCACCATCTTTTGTGATAGGACCTGTTCACCTGTCTTGCCTCAGCCTGGCATCTAACTGGAAAAGTACAACTCAGAGTCCGTTTGTGACTTGTTCGTGGAATGGGTTGATTTCAGAAGATGGGGACCAACTCCCTTCTACAGACCAACCACGCTAACCTCTCCCAACACAGCCTCTGGCCTGGCCTTCGTTCAGACAAGTGTCCCCCTAAACACTCATGGTGCTTCCTCTCTAGTTCAAGCTGCCATCATTTTGAGTCTCAATTTCAGCAAGTCTCCTAGACAGTCTGGCTGAGTCTGGGCTCCCCCAGGGTCTGAGAGTGTACCTGTCGGTGCCAAACAAAATGCCAAGATCTACCAAACACCAGCCAAATCCACGGGTCTCTCTTCAGCCTGCATGTCATCTGACCTCCCTCTGCCACCTGACACTGCTGAAATCACGCTGCACTTCTTTTTGAACCCATTCTCCGACACAGCCCCGTCTGAGCCTTCTATTTCCTTTGCTGACTCTGCTTCCGCTGGCCTTCCCTATGCTCTCATTCTTGTATACTCCTTCCTCTGTCCTCTTTCCTTCTCTTTCCACACACTTTTTCTGGTCAAGAGCATCCACTCTTACGGCCTCACTGGCTCCTGTGTGCTACCCCTCTCAAGCCAACCTCTTTCCCGAGCTCTAACTCCACTCCCCACTGCCTACTGAACATCCCACCATGATGCTCCCCAGGTACCTGACGGTGGCTGAGATCCAGCCTGTCTGAAACCAAACTCTGCATCTTCTTTCTCCTTCCCCCATGCACCTGCTCCTCCTCTCTAATTCTCCATTTTGGCTAACCATCCAGGGCATGCCCTGTTCAACCTCAGCTCTTCTCTCAGCTTCTTGCCCCATGCAGAAGTGCCCACTAAATGTCACCACTTCTAGGAGTTATTTCTTCTGCATTCCAACTGCCATGGCCAATGCCTTTCTCAACTTCTGTCTATGCAGGATAAAGGCCTAACTGATCTCTGCCTCCACTTTTCTATCCATCCAACCCAACCTCCAGAGTTTAAGAGTGATTACATCACCATCTCACTCAGAAACGTTTAATAACTCCCTGAAGTCCTTGATATGTGGGGCCAACTTAACTTTCCAGTCCCATTACCAGGAATGATCTGTCTGCCCTAAGGTGTCTTCTGTTCTACCCTAACCTCCTGGGTCCAGAGGGAAACTACAGTGTTCTGTGCAAGCAGTTTCACGGAGAATAATACACACTTTTACCTCCATCTCCTCAGATCAACACATATGGAACATATGGAACTCAGATCAACCCTGTGTTCTCTAGCACTCCCCTCGAAATCTACTTGGTAAACTTGTACTCCTCCTTCAAAGACAGGACAAATGTCACCTTCCTTCTGCAGCCTTCCCCAACCTCCCTCTCCAGTGGCAGAACCACTCATCTGCCTCATTTGTTTCTCCAGAACTTTGTTCCTGCCTCTATTATGATGTGTTCCTGCCTATGATAAGATCTCTGTATGCGTACAGAGTACCAGTGTTCACTTACACATCCACAATGTCCAGCACAGTGCCAGCAACCTAGAACACTAGTTCTCTGCATGTTAAAGTAGCACAAAGCTGAATGTGACTGTTATCGTGGAGGCAGCAAGTTTATGAGGATGAAAGAGAGAAATTCCCAATGAGGAACAGTGTAGCTCTATTAGAAGAAAATTTTCTTCTGCTGAAGATCTTCCTGGTGTCCCTTCAATCTCACAGACAAGTGGCTGACGTTTTAGCCATGTCAGCCCTCTCTCAGAACACAACAGATGTGTCCGCCGGAAGTGGCCTCACTGTGACCTCACTGTGACCCACTCCCTCACTGTCCCCAGTCTCAACCACTCTTGGGCTTCCCACATTGGTAGCCAATGAATCTAAAGTCTCATTTAAACATGAGCTCAAGGGCCGCCTGGGTGGCTCAGTTGGTTAAGCGTCGACTTCAGCTCAGGTCATGACCTCATGTTTCTTGAGTTTGAGCTCCGTGTCAGGCTCTGTGCTGACAGCTCAGAGCCTGGAGCCTGCTTCAGATTCTCTGTCTCCCTCTCCCTCTGCCCCTCCCCTATGTGCACTCTCTCTCTCTCAAAAATAAACATTAAATAAACAAATAAACAAACAAACATGAGCTCAAAAAGGCCCAAGGAGCCCTAAGAAGGAACACATGTTCGGAGTTTAATTTATGATAGTGGTTCATAAATTGAATTCCATTTTAACTTTTCCAAAAGCTCTGATTTTTGACATCCAGGCTCCTTACGGCCCTGGTATATTGGTTCCCCTCCCCTGTAGCCCTCAAATCTCTCAAGCCCTTCAGTCACTCACTTGATACGTAAGCTACGCCCCGCCTGAAGACTCAGGCCCAAGGGGTACTTGGAAAAGCCCTGGGCCGGAGGCTCAGTTCTATCCAGCAGTAACACCTGCTGGTCCATACTCTGTACCCGGCGCTGCACGTGAGACCTAGTCCTGCCCTCGCAGAGCTTCTGTTTCAGAGACAGAGGCGCTTAAACAAAGCACAGGTGAGTTTGTACAGAGATCCGTGGTAGAGGTGTATGTGGGTCCTGCAGGGGGACATGGGTGGCCCAGAAGCATAGAGCCCCGAGCCGACTGTGTCCTCGGATTCTTGCCTCAGGCAGTCTGAACAAACACTTTCTGAAACTCTACTGCAAAGTCCCTGCCCTTGCGGATCTGACACTTGGGTTTCAGTTTTAGCAAATGCATTCCTATCTTGTTCTTCTGGGCAGAGTATCTTCCCGAAGCATCATTTCTCCAGGATGAACACTGTCTTTTCCTCAGGAGACCTTTCAGGAACTTGAGTTCTGTCCGTGGAATTCAGGTCCTGTTACTGGGTCTGCCACGCAGATGCCGAGTGTACATAGCTGCCTGTCCTTCCCCGGTGGACCTGCGGCCGGGACCTGTGATATTGCCCTTTGCTCCCTGTGCCTCAGTGCCCTCATCTGTAAACTAGAGAGGATGATAGTATCTCCCTCCAAGGGATATTAGGAATTAGGAGGACTAAATGAGACTAGCTTGGCACATGCTAAGTACTCAATAAATTAACTATCATCGTTATTGTCATTGTTCCTAAGATCCCTGACACACTGCCTGCCTCATCCATGGACCTCCTCACCTCCTGAGAAGGTGTGAGCTGGGGGGTAGGAAGGCCCCTCCCCCAGCCATCCCCACCCCCACTGTGGCTGTGGGTTGGCTTAGTTGGGCTCTCACGGGCTGGCCCACCCAGACCCAGCTGGGGAAACCGAGTACCTCTCAGGGTCAGGTAGCCATAAGCCAGGCTGGCCAAAGCCTGTGCACATTTCCAGTGTTCTTCCCCAAAAATAATCCGAGAAAGGATGACACAGCGAATCAGCTCCTTGTTTGCTTGGATGTTCTGCAGAAAGCAAATGAGTCAGGATGCTTTTTGGAAAGGAGGGGCAGCCGCAGCCCACGCTCTTCTCGTGGGAACGTAGGACCAAGTTCATCTGGCTGATTTGTCTCTTCTCCTCCCTTCCCGTCCCACACCCATGCCATCAGGGCTTGTTGGCTGTCCCTTATTCCTAAGTCCTTAAACCCAGTTCTTCGCCTCATTTCTGCCATGAGTACCTGGCCCAAGCCACCCTCATCTTTTACCGGGCTGACCACGGCAGCCGCCGCTGCTTCCACTCCTGCCCCCTTCCTCAGTCTGCTTTCTACATCATAGCCAGAGTGACTTCCTTTAACCTTTCACCGTGAAAAACCTTAGCAATATACAAAAATAGCATGGAGAATGGCTCACTTTGCCTCATGAGGGGTCTACTCATGGCCAGTCTTGTCTCATATCCATCCTTCTTACCCACCCATCCTCTCTATTATTTTGAAGACAATCAGTATTAAATCATTTCATGTCTTAAAGGGCGCCTGGGTGGCTCAGTCGGTAAAGTGTCCGACTTCGGCTCAGGTCATGATCTCACGGTTTGTGGGTTCAAGCCCCGTGTCGGGCTCTGTGCTGACAGTTAGCTCAGAGCCTGGAGCCTGTCTCTGGATTCCATGTCTCCCTCTCTTTCTGACCCTCCCCTGCTCATGCTGTCTCTATCTCTCTCAAAAATAAATTTTAAAAAACATTACAAAATTTTAAAAAATAATTCCATGTCTCCTAACTGTCTCCAAAAGATATGGACCTTGACATATAATCAGAAAATCACTCTCACCAAAATATTAAGCTTATAATGTTAAATACCTAGTCTCATAAATCTAATATGTTTTTGATAATTCGCCTGTCTGCACATCGAGATCAGTGTCCTGAATCCCATCTCCTCTATAAGTTCCATTTCCACCTCTAGTTCTTTTTAGTTCTTTTTATTGTGAATTATCTGTTGAAGAAATTGGGCCATTTGGACTACAGTGTTTCCCAAACATGTACATTTGTATTCCAAACCTGTAAATTTTTTGACTGCATTCTTACAGTGTCATTCAACATGCCCCTCCATCCTCTGTCTTGCCTTTATATTGGTAGCTGGATTTAGAAGCTGGCTTTGCTTTAGCTTTATTTTTTTTTTAAGCAAAACTACTTCATAGGTTCTCATATGCTTTTCCACCAGAAGACACCCAATGTTTGGTTGGCTTTTTTTCTAATTATTGGCACAACTACATGGATTCATTCATAAAAGGTTATAAAATGCCAATATCCAATTCTACCAGTGTTTCTTCACATGTTAGCTGAAATAATTCTATAGAGAACTCTCCCCTCATCTCCTGTTTGGTTATCCAACAGTAGTTTATAATTGAAGGACAAGATACATGACTTACTCTTCCCCTTTATTTGGTAGCTTTCAAAGTAACGAGTTTGGTCACTAGCATCGTCCACTGGTGACCAAATAGCTTGTTCACTATTATTATTATTATTATTATTATTATTATTATTATTATAAGCATGGATCTTAAAACCTATCTGATGCTCCTGAACATGGCAAACTAGTTTCTAACTTGCTTTTGCACCTGATTTTTCCTGCTTGGGACACTGAAACACATCCTTCACGGTCTCACTTCATTTTCATTTTGTTTACTTCAGAGGCCTCTCAGTATCTTCTCTAAAAAGAAGCTCTCATCCCATCACCTACTAACCCATGACCTATTTTATTTTTTCCTTCATTGCACTTGCTTCTCTCTAAAATTGCACTAACAGTTTTTTAAAAATTTTTTAACATTTATTTATTATTGACAGACAATGAGACAGCATGAGCAGGAGAGGACCAGAGAGAGAGGGAGACACAGAATTTGAAGCAGGCTCCAGGCTCTGAGCTTTCAGTACAGAGCCTGACGCGGGGCTCGAACCCACAAACCACAAGATTATGACCTGAGCCAAAGTCGGACACTTAACTGACTGAGTCACCCAGGTGCCCCTACACTAACAGTTATTATCTGTCTCCACAAATAGAAGTTCCTTGAGAATAAAAGCTTATTTCTCATGTTCACTACTTTATGCTCAGCTCACAGAGGAGATACTCATTCAACATCCGCTGAACGAGTCATCTCTTCATTAGCCAGGAGGGGATGGGGTGGGGAAATAGCCCCTGCTGTAGAGCTCATGGGCAGAGTTCTCCAAGAAATCACAGCTGCATCTTAGAGACATGGTTTCAGTGACTTTACAAAGACACCTATCAACCGGCCGCGCTGATTGACAAAATCAAGAGTGTATCTCCTGGTGAGGTGAAAACAGCACTTCAAAGACTCAAAAGCTTGGAGTTTCAGCTCTGGTTCTAATGTCTGCTGACTGGGGTGCTCTGGGCAAGATCACCCTGAGTTCCAGCTCCCGCCTCCTCCCTGCGCCCATCCTCACCTGCTGCCTCACCTGCTCCCAGCTCACACATGCAGAGAGGGGTACAGGACAGGCCCCTTTGTGCTTTAAAAACACCCATTCAGTGAGAAGTTTTGAGTGTTCTCTAGAGGCTCACCACAGAATTTACTAAGTTTCATCTTGAGGAGGAACAATACCATGAAAAGTCACTGGAAAGGGAGCACAAAGCCTCCCCTTCTGTCCTGGCCCTGGACATTCTGTATCCATCCATCCTCAAACTTCCTGCCCTGGCAAAACTGAATAACCAATGTGGGCTCTAGAGGTCCGAGCCTGTTGCCAATCCTCCTGCCCTTCAGGCCAGTGAGCACTCGGGGCGGCTAGGTTTAACTCCTGAATCCAAATCTTTGTCATTATGCAAACTGGCCAAGGAGCTGTCAAGCCTTAAAAACTGACACTTGGACTCTATGGCTGATGGCACTTGTCTGTCTGTGAAAGGGAAGGTTCTGGCCTGGGTCTGTGAGATACTAATGGGTACAGGCCAAGAAGACCATCCTCTGCGAGTCCTCTGGGCAATTTACAGAGGTGAGGTAAGTTTACAGATACATCCAACCAGGGGTATCTGCCTCTATCATTGGCCCGTGAAGGGTCTCTCAGCCTTTCCTAAAGCCTCTACGGACCTTTCTCTACATGGGAACTTAAGCTCACTTTTTCCTACACCTGATTTAAAGCTCATTTTTTCCCTTGGCCAGGAAGTCAGTACATGGATTCCTCTGCTGATAAATCATGCTCTGGGAGCAGGCGGGTGCCTGCATTCTAACAGTGAAGGTCACTGTCGTCCTGTTTTAGGTTCCTGGATTTTGAGCTCTCTCAATTAAGCACTTACTCTGAGGTCCTAGTTACAACTTTGCCTCGTTCTTAGAAATGCATACCCAGACTCCGACCTCTGCTGCTACCTCCTGTTTCTGGTGCTTTCGTTTGCTTAGGAGTCCACTGTAACCACTGGCATCTTACTTATATCCTTGTCGTTTCTGAGCCTGGACCTCAGCCCGGCCACCCTTGTTCTCAGCCTCCTGCCTCCCTAGCCTGGCCTTTTCCGTCACCCAAGAGCTATCATTCTGAAACCTTTCAGGAGAAATTTTTTGAAAGATTTTTTATTGAAAGGCCATCTAACATCAACACAAAGAATAAAGCATTCATTTTTAGTCTAAAGCCAGGAGCACAAATACTCCATAAAGAATGCACAGTGAGCCATGCGTGTGTGGAGCCTGTGGGCAGGCTGGCTACCCAACCCTGCTCTGCTTTGGTTTCCTCCACTTATAAAGAAATACAACAATTTCCTCCACTTCGAGGGCTTCAATCTCTAGTTAAGGCAGAGATTCTGTAATCATGGACATATTTTTAAAGGGAAACTAGGGTTGCCTGGGTGGCTCAGTTGATTAAGTGTCTGACTTTGGCTCAGGTCATGATTTCGCAGTTCACGAGTTCGAGCCCTACATCGGGCTCTGTGGTGATGGCTCAGAGCCTGGAGCCTGCTTCAGATTCTGTGTCTCCCTCTCTCTCTGCCCTCCCTGCTCATGCTCTGTTTCTTTCTCTCTCTGTCTCCAAAGTAAATAAACACTAAAAAAAATTTTTTTTTAAAAAAGGAAACTAAAACTTAGTGAGCTTTTTGTTTTACCATTTTTTTCTTAATCAGCTGAGTTATTTTCTTCTGGGATTGGGCCAATTTGTCTTTAGGAAGAGACATGCAGCCTACGGCCATCTCCTCCATGGCTTCAGTGTCTTCTTCACTCTCTCCAGACCCACTAGAGGAATACAGTTCATCTCTTTGCTGGTATGCTGGGACCTTAGCTTGCTGTGACCTGTAGATACCAGAGAGGGGCATGGATTCAGATCTGACCTCTGCCTATCTCAAACAATGTACCATTGAAGGACAGAGCCCTCCCAGCTGTGGGTGAGGGATACACTAACATACACCTGAAGGAATAAAGCCTGGTGATGAGCTCATGTCACCCTTCAAGCCCAGAATCAGGACAGCAATGCGGTGATTCAAATAAAACAGATTCGGCAAACCACCCACCTACACCAGAGTCCCAGCTCTGCTACTTACTAACCATATGACCCTAAGCAAGTTATCACTTAATTTGCTTCTTTGTAAAATGAGGTCAATCCAATGAAGCTATTGGATTAAATCAGATAATACTTGTGAATCACTTAGCATATAGCCTATTAAGTAAGTACTATTTTAGCATTAGCTATACTCATTTTATTAGCTTCATGTTTGGTTTCTTCATCTACAAAATGAAGGTGGTGAATTGGAAGATTTCAAAGATCTTTTACATTCTAAAATTCTGATCCAAACCAGGAAAGAAAACAGATATAATGAAATAACAGGAAGGGAATTAACAGTTTGAGGCTGGACTTCACATGTCCTCTACCATATTTCTTAAAAGTAGTGGCCAACTAACTAAAGCAGATGTGGTCCCAGCAAGGAGAGGGGAGGGAACCCCACACAGGCAAGAGCAGATTCAGAAGCAAAATGGACTTCTCAGTTGTGTTACAGATAAATATATTGAAGAGAGCTGAGTGGATTGAAAATTCCCCCCTCTTCACTCACCTCTCTCCCTCTCTCCTACCCTCCTTCTCCTCTCTCCTTTCTTACTTGCTCACTGTAGATCTCTGACTTCAAAGCTGAACATAATTATGATGGGTGATTGGAAATGGTAAAGATAAAAGTCAAGAGTTAATCTTACACACAAAGCCATAACCATGTTCTAACATGATCAGAAAAATCAAAGTGACCAGAAAAAAAAAAAGAAGAAATTCTAAAATCTTAAGAGCAACAACAGAATGTTTAATTAATTATAAACGAGTTCCCCAAAAGAATTACTTTTGTATTCACAATAGCTTTTAAAAGTTCAACCCCTATATAGTTTTAAGAATAAGTTTAGCTTCCTTTTCTACTGAGAAGTAAGGAATCTTCACTGTAAAAAAAAAAAAAGGAAAATACAGAAAGAAAAACAAATGTCAAGTGTAATCTTTCACACTAGTTTTGAAAAATGAGATGTTAATATCCATCCAGACTTTCTGTTCTAAACAACCTACCAAGAGGTATATGAGTCAACCAGTTCAAGTGGATATGAGAGCAACATTTCTTCAGGCCCAGAAAACAGAAGTGTGCTTTCAAAAGACAGGCACACTCAATGTTGAAAAGCCAGAGAACACGGTTGATATAATATGATCAGAAGGCAGGTGCTAAATTTCCCTCCTCTCTGCCTGGTGAATTCCCTACTCCTCCTTCAAGACCCAACTCAGGCGTCACCTCTGCTGGAATCTAGCACTAGAGTAGCAAGCAGAAGGGCTTGCAAAAATCTCCTCCAAACTTCTACTATAGTTCAAATACATTATAGTCTCATTTTCTTTTTCTTTTCTATTTTCTTAAGTTTAAAAAAAATTTTTTTTTAACATTTATTTATTTTTGAAAGACAGGCACCATGAGCGGGGGAGGGGCAGAGAGAGAGGGAGACACAGAATCCAAAGCAGGCTCCAGGCTCTGCAGGCTCCTGGCTCTGAGCTGTCAGCACAGAGCCCGACGTGGGGCCCAAACTCACCAGCTGTGAGACCAGGACCTGAGCCTAAGTCAGACTATTAACCGACTGAGCCACCCTGGTGCCCCAAGCCCTTAATATTTTAAGTTCAGTCTTCACTGAAATTAAGCTGAGACCAAGGACAGTAAGCTTGAACAGCAGGAACCTCAAAGGAAGAAGAAACACTGAGGTCTTGACAAATGACTTGAGAATGAAAACCTTAAACTGGCTTTGGATTGAACATCTTGTCATGAAAGATTAGATGAATAGAGAATACTGACCAGTCAGATACCTTCAAAGATAAAATAAAAGTCAGTAAATAAGAATAGGCAGGGTGGATGAAAGGTCTGTCTTGCCAGGTTTATAACTTATTCTATATGTTGCCGTCATAAATATGAATTCAGACTCGTAATAATAAGTATGAATTATCTTTCAAGATACTCTAGTATGAACTCTACATCTTGACTTCAACTTTTATAATATGTTAAAAAAGGTATATATCCCTTAATCTCAAGATATTTCATGAGGTGGGACAGAATTACTAAGATATTAACCACTAGTCACATGTGGCTATTAAGCACATGAAGTGTGGCCAGTCTGAACTGAGATGTGCTGTAAGTGTAAAATACACACTCAATTTCAAAGACTCAGTATGAAGAAAAAAATATAAAATATTTCGTTAATTATTTTATAAAATAGTAAGATAAATATTGTATTAAACTTCAATTTACCTATTTCTTATTTTTTAATATAACCACTGGAAATTTTTAAATTATCTAGGTGGCTGGCGTTTGTGACTTGCATTATATTTCTATTTGATAGCACTGGCATAGAGCAATGGTTCTCAACCAAGGGTGTTATTTCCCCCAGGGGAAATTTAGCAGCGTGAGAAGATATTTCGGCTTGTCACTACTGGGACAGTGCTACTGGCATCTAGTGGGTAGACAGCAGGAATGCTACTAAACATCCCACAGCGTACAGGTCAGGCCCCCACAATAGAGAGTTATCCAACCCAAAATGTCAACAATGCCAAGGTTGGGAAATCTTGGTATACAAGAACGGTTCAAGAATTGACTCTGGAGTCAGACCGCTTAGTTTAAATCACTAGCTCTGTGTTGGGCAAATTACCTCACGTTTTTTTTGACTAAACTCCTTAGCTATAAAATTATAACAGTATAATAGTACACCCCTTACAGGGATGTTGGAGATAATAGTACCACCCTTACAGGGATGTTGGAGGAATTAGATGACTTAATATACGTAAGCACTTAGTGCCCGGCACATAGTATTTGCTCAATAAGTATTAGCTATTATGATGTGAAAGTTTTAATTTACTTATTATTGTCTATTTCACAAAACAATCTTAATTCACTCATTAACCCTGTTATATTGAATTTTCCATGACTTTATCAATCTTATTATAATTAACCTATCTATAAAACATAAAATTTCCCTCAAGTTAGGAAAAAACAATTATTTTCCTTCTCGCATAGGGTGCACAAATACAAATGGATCTCAGAGCATAATCGTAATGAAAACACTTCACAGAAATTCAACCTTCTCTTCCATTTAATAGGTACTCAACTCCTCACCCCAGGTTTGCCTTTGGTGGGAGGTCCCTGTGTTCCAGGCCAGGGACTGAGTGTGATGTCAAGGTTCTGTGCTACTTACAAGTGGAAGCAGAAGTCCCAGTCGGTGTCATTGCTGACGGATGGAATGCGGATGGGGCTGGCTTGCATCTTCTTCCTACCAAGAATCACAGGTGAGGTCGGCTTTGGGGAGAAAAAAGGCTATTCTATTTTCCCTCTGTTGAATGCTATTAACATCAAATTGAAACTGCCCAAATATATAACCCATCTGAAATCCAAAAACAGACTATACACACTCATGTAGAGAGACGCCTGGAAAGCAGAAACTAAAGACACTTGCCAAGTTAAACATCTGAATTACATTTCTTTCCTCCAATTCCTACTCCACAGTACCTCCCAAATCCCTGACTTTTTCTTACCCCCTTAAAGCCAGTACATTTACAGCTCCTGAATGTACTCCTCCTCAAAGTCTGATACTGTTTTTGCAGGTATGCAAGTCAAATATTGTTTTTGCAAGACGGATGCAAGCAATGGAGCAGCTCTTAGCATTAAATGAGGTATAGCCAGTTTATTGGTTAATTCTTCTGGTCCCTGGGACATCCCACTATTTAATAGGAAGTCCTAGGTAAGGAATACACACGCGTCTATTCTGGTATTGTCGTTAGCTGATGGGAAAAATGGTCGAAAACTTGCGGCAAAAAATCTGATTTATAATTATTTGTGAAATTCAGTTCTCATGGCGTTCTCTATCGCTTAAATCAATCCAAATCGAATGTACGGTTTTGTACTGAGCACTAACACCCGCCAAGTCGCTCCTCACCCTGCAGAAGGTCACTCATTCCCACCTGAGCCCTGAGCAGCTCTCTCTGACTCAGGCTCCAGAACGTCCAGAATCCGAGAAAACAGAAGGAAACCTCACTAATTTCTCTTTCTAATCTCGACTTTCTTTTTTTTTTTTTTTTTAATTTTTAAAAAATGTTTTATCTATTTCTGAGAGAGACAGAGACAACGTGAGCAGGGGAGAGTCAGAGACACAGAATCCGAAACAGGCTTCAGGCTCCGAGCTAGCTGTCAGCACAGAGCCCGACGCGGGGCCCGAACCCCGCCGCCACATCCGGAGCCCCAGGCGAGCATCCAAAGGCTTTTTTGTCTCAGATAGCGCCCGCGTCCCCCTCACCCCGGCCTCAGAGGTTCCAAGTTGAAGAGCACACGCAAGGCGCCGCTAGGGAGGGGTTGGGCCCGGACCTGGCCGAGGGCAGGGAAGCCACGCCCCGGAAGTAGCCTTCTCGGGTCCCTCGGCCCGCTAGCTCAGCTTCCTCTGGCGGCGTCAGCGTCCTGGCCTCGGCGGACCTCGTTCAGGGAGCCGCAAAGGTGCCTGGCGGAAGCGAGACTCGGAGCGGTCCGCCTGGCGCGCCGGCAAGCCCAGGTTCCCCCTCGGAAGACAATGGGGTTGCCATGGGAACGGAACGCCGCGGACAGAGCCTGGAGCGTCGGCGCCTGTAGCCGTAGCAACGCAGGGAACTTCCGGCCTCGGAAAATTCCGGGCTGCTGGGGCCAACCGGCGCTCCCACCGCACCCTGGGCTTTCCGGTCTCCGCGGGAGCGACTCGCGCAGCCTCAGGCTTGTCTCCGAAACTTCCCTCAGCTTCAGCTGAACGTCACCTGTTGTTTTTCTCAAAGGGACTTTACCTGTCTGGGATGAAGATGCGGGAAGAGGAGAGACATCCATAGGAAGGCGGGAGAGGCGCCGGGCTCCACGACCCGACCTATGTAAAACTGCGGCGTACTGTGTACCCGGCTGTCCGGGCGCACCCCTGCGCGCCCCCTGCACCCCGCCGGCCCCCGGGTGTTCTGGTTCCCGGAGAGAAAAGGCTCAGGTATAATTATTAACGGTGTCGGCACCGTTTGTGTTGCCTCTCCCGGTAAGATGTGAGCCTTGAGCCGTGCTCGATCAGGAACGCGGAGTGCAGGAAGTGAGTAGTTTAAGTAATGGGCCACTAATTCTGCTAATGATTAGCAGCCCCGAGAACATTTTCGGGGGCGGGGGCGACACTTGGCAAACACCACACAGCCCTAATTTATGCAGCACGTGTTCTTTTTACCACTCTTCCCTGGCCTGAAAGACACAGTAACAATAATTCAGATCTGACAGGTGCAGGGCAACATGTGACTCGTATCCCAAGGAAAAGCACCGGCTCCGCACAGCCTTATGTTTAAGAGTGTTATCACGAACCCTACAGTAAACAAGGGGCCTGTGGCAAAGAGAAGGAAGACATTTACTAAGAACTTGAAAGGTGGTGTTTAGATTTGGTGTTTGTTTTCCAGTTCTGAGGCTGAAGTTTAATTGCTGTTGATCCAAGACTGCCAAGATAGACCAAGATAGGTCGGAGGAATTGTTTAAATGAGTTTGCTTAAATATCTCTCAGGTTAAACTTGGACAGCCTTTTAACTTCAGGTTTAAATCTGTCTCCTCAAGATCCTGAGCCACAATTTTAGAAAAAGCCCCCCCCCCCCTTTATTCTGTTTAAGAAATCTCCCAACTCGGAACAAGATTGAGAGTAGTGAACTCAGCTTCAAGATTTCCCCCCTCTGGTTTTGACTCCGTGCGGCCTGGGGCAAATCACAGCCTGAGAGTCTCAATTTTCTCGCCTACGTAAGGAGAGTATTTGTTACCACTTGCTTTCTAAAACCCCTCCCAGTTCCCAGGATCCTGCGGTGGCAAACCGCAGGTTTTTGTGACACTATGAACAGTATTTAACGTATATGAGGATGAAAAGGAGGAACTGATTTCGCGTTCTCTGATTCTGACCCCCCTTACCGTTGTTGAATCCATCTTCAGGAAGTTGAAAAGGTTTAATGTTCTGCCACTGTGGGAATTGGCTGGGAGTTTGTTTCTAAGTGTATTAAATGTAACTTCTCCTTCCTGAACACCAGCTTTTTGCCCCTCGTGGGGAAGGGAAGTGAGGTCCCGGAACAGGCACTGAATTCCCATTCTAAGAATGACACCCTGGTTCCACCTGCATTTAATTAGCTCTGACCAGCAGTCGTTCATCTGTAAAAATTAAAAGAACATTAAAGGGGCGCCTGGGTGGCTTAGTCGGTTAAGCGTCCGACTTTCGCTTAGGGCATGATCTCGCAGTTCGTGGGTTCAGAGCCCCGCGTCGGGCTCTGTGCTGCCAGCTCAGAGCCTGGAGCCTGTTTCAGAGTCTGTGACTCCCTCTCTCTCTGACCCTCCCCTGCTCACGCTGTCTCTCTCTCTCTCCTAGAAATAAATAAAACGTTAAAAAAAATTAAAAAAAAAAAAAAACCACTAAAGACTCGGAGTCCAAACCTGTGTGCTGTTTTTTCTTCCCTTGCCATCTTCACCCTGTCTCCAAATGTAAACCTTAATCACGGGTAAATATGCTGTAGCTTTGTGGCGTAACTCTGAAATGGGCTGCTAGTAATCTGGGCGAGCATTGCTCTTACAGTGTGTTCACTCACAGTCCCTCCCTTGATCCTGAGCAAGCATCGCTGTTGCAGAATCACACAGAGGAAGCATGTGTACAGGGTCCTTCCAGAGTCTTCCATCCCCAAATAAACTGTGATTAACTCCAAATTATGTCAACTCCAAAGACTATGAAACTTAAGGACAAGGAAATCCAAATAAATTTTCCTTGGACTGTACAATTTCTTAAAACATAGTTTCTATCCTCTCTGTATTGGGCTGGAGACCTTCCTTCTGAGCTATCCCGTCCATAATCTCATCTTGACACTCACCATTATACTGGCACTCTCTGTGAGTTTCTCACAGCCTCCATGCATCTGTCCATCTACTCAGAAAAAAAGTACATTTTGAAGAAAACTAGTGTGTGCCCCATACTGTTCTAAGCATCAGGGAAGCAAGAGCAAATAAAGATTTTGCTCTCTTGGAGCCTCTATTCTACTAGGTAAGGAAAAACAGGGCTTTTAGTAAACAGTCTGACATCTCTGCAAGTTAGAAAAAGACAAAGTGCTGAGGGAGTAGGCAACAATTTTGTGTGAATTCGAATGAAAAAACAAAAACAAAAAACCCTCTTCACTCATCCAGACTAAGGCTGCCTACTAAGCGGTAAAACTTTGGAAATAGAGGGTGGTCTGGATTTTAGGACTCCCTTGCTTCCTCAACTGGGTGAGCCACCTTACGTGGATATGGCAAATTATATGGAGAAAAATGAAGTCAGATAAAGTATCTAGAAAGTGATGTGGACATGCGGATTGTGCTAGCTTATATGGTGTGGTTAAGAAGGTCCTCCCTGACATGGTAGCATTGAGCAGAGGAAATAAAGAACAAATAATACAAATGTCAAGGAGAAGAATGTTCTAAGATAACAGGGTGTACAAAGGCCCTGAGGCAGGAGCTAGTTTGGTGGGTTCAAGGAAGAGCAAAATGGCAATTAAGGAGGAGGAGGCAGGGGCTCCTGGGTGGCTCAGTGGGTTAAGCATCCGACTTCAGCTCAGGTCATAATCTCACAGTTTGTGGGTTGGAGCCTCGCGTCCGGCTCTGTGCTGACAGCTAGCTCAGAGCCTGGAGCCTGCTTCAGATTCTGTATCTCCCTTTCTCTCTGACCCTCCCCTGCTCACACTGTCTCTCTAAGTAAATAAAACATTAAATAAAAAATAAGGAGGCAGATGAATGGGTCAGCAAAAGAGCAGAGCATCCAGGGCCTTCTAGACAATTCATCTAAATATCCACCCACCCAGTGAATACTGAATCCCTACTAGGTGGCTGGCCCGTCTGATCAGTGTGAGCTCCTTGTGAGCAGGAGCTATTATGTTCACCATTGGGCCTTTGGGACTCAACATAGTGTCCGGCTTATGATCAATGGTCAGTAACATGTAAGAAGCTTGGAGGCATCTTCAGGAACTCTCCCGTAGCAGAGATTCCGGCCCTTCAGTATGGATACCACTTTCCTATTGCTGCTATAAGAAATCACAGCAAACTTATTGGCTTAAAATGACACATTTCTGTTATGTCATGGTTCCGAGGTCAGAAGTCTGCAGTGGCTGTCACGGGGCTAGAGACAAGGTGTAAACAAGGCTGGTGCTTTCTAGGGGCTCTCGGGGAGAACTGTGTTTTCTTGCCTTTCCTAGCTTCTAGAGACCACTTGTGTTCGTTCCTTGGTTTGTGGCTTCATCCTCCATCCTCAGGGCCAGCAGTGCAGCATCTTTATTTTAATGTTTATTTTGAGAGAGAGAGAGAGAGAGGGAGGGAGAGAGAGAGACAGACAGACAGACAGACGGAGGGAGGGAGTGAGAGAACAAACAGGCAGGGGGCGAGGCAGAGAGGGAGAGAGAGGATCTCTAGCAGGCTCCGCACCGTGAGCATGGAGCCCAACACAGGGGCTTAAACTCAGACCATGAGATCATCACCTGAGCCATAAGCGTCTGATGCGTAACTGACTGAGCCACCCAGCCACCCCCAGGGAGGGAGCATCTTTAAATCTCTGACTCTTGACTCCTTCCACTTTCACAGCCCCTCCTGATTAAGTCAGCCCCACCAGATAGTCCAGGACAATCTTCTTGAAAGTCAGCTGATTAGCGATCTTAATTCTATCTGCCAATTTAATTTTTCTTTGCCCTACCACATAAAATATCCACAGATTCCAGGAATCAGGACACGGACCTCTTAGCGGGGAGGTCCATTATTTTGCCTACTCAATATGTTTAACCTGACTTAATTTGCATCCATGTGAAAACACCCAGAGGTCACACCTAGGGAACCCTTCCTACTTCTTCCACTCCTGTTAAAAGCTTACATTATTTGGCTGTGTCTTGCTCCTTTCTCGCCTCTCCCCATCTTCCATTTATAATCTAGTACGTCCAGTCAGGGCACTTGACTATACGGTTTCTTCCCATTGTAGGGCTTGGTTTGTCATGAGAGCGCAGGGATGTCTTCCCTTCCACTCACCTCTATCTCTTGGGGGTTCCCCTTCAGAGCAGCCTTTCCTTCTGCTCTGATTGCTCCGTCAACCTACAGGCCCCTGTGGCCTACTTACGGCAACCATCACAGTTGAGCTCTTGTCCTTTGACTGTTTCACAAATACGCAACTCTCATGCTGGAATTCTCTGCCCTGAGCCGAACAGAAATTGCCACTCTGTGAATGCCTCGGTCTGTTGCTTCCCCCAGCCCCCGCTTTGCCCCGCAGCCTGCGTTTCAACTGCTCAGAAGGCGTCATCCCCATCTTGGCTGGACAGTGTTTCTGCCGCCGTCAGCACCCAGCATTCCACGGCTATGCCACGTTGCACAAGGTCGTGCTCCAGCACGTTCTGGGAACATTTCCCCCACACAGCAGATTGTATGTTTATCTTAAGTTGGGTGGGTTTAATTATTAAAGGCTTTGCAGTCTGTCTTCAAGTTTATATAAGGAAAACAAAATG